ATCTGTCTGTGGTGGTGCAGCACACTCCAGCCAAACGATCGAACCCAGAACCCACGTTGACGCCTGAAGCTCCTCAGAAGAGAACCAAGTTCGGCGGAAAGTTTGAGAAGTTCAGCGCGTGCAAGGTGTGCGGTTGCGAACGTGACCAAGCTCAGCGGGGCGCAGCCTGCGATTTCTGCATCAAAGCTTGTAGGCTCCTACACGCTCATCAGAGGGTGAATACAGTTTTGGACCAGGCGGGCGGCGAAGCGCTCAAAGCCAAATCTGTACAGCTTCGGGCATCTGGCAAAAGCCAGGATTGCAAAGCAGACGATACTTCCACAGCAAAGCTGATCTGCAAGCTAGAGGCACTTGTGCCTCGTTTGGAGGCTGCACTCATTCGGGCTGAGAAGCTTCACACAAAGTAAGACGCCTGGTTGTTCTTTTCTTCCTGTGCTGCTTGACACGGGGTTTGGGCTGCTGGCGTGAGAACATGCCACGGGGAAGCCAAGCAGTAGAGTTGTTTGGGGTGAAAAATGATGCGACCCATCAAGCCAGACTCACGGCTGACTCCTGGTGTATTGCCCGAACCCCGAAACCACAGTGTGCTGCTAGGGGGACTTTTTCTTTTATTGGCAATATAGCAGGACTCAGCAGTCGAGTCTTTGTGAGAGAGCAACCTTGGCTTTGCGCATGGAGGCAGTTGTCAAGTGACACCTTTTTTTTCACAGGATCGGTCGAAGTGGAGGGGCGAGATTCACGCAACAGGGGCCCTTGTAACTCATTGTTGTCCTACGTGGCTTTTTCTTGTTGTTGCAAGGGTCTAAGCAAAGAGCGTGTAGAAGCTTTGTGGCAGTTGCTTGTAGGTAGCAACCCGGAGCAGCAGACACTAGCTTGGCTCAGCAAAAGCGCAACAGAAAGCACAGGTTTATAATGTCAACACTCAAGTGAAGTTTCCAGGAAACAGCGCGCCGAATCCGCGAAAGCTCCGCGAAAGCCACGCGAAAGCTCCGCGAAAGCAAAACCTGTCCCAAGTAGGGGGTCCCCCATTTCGTTTTCCTGCAAAGCTCCGATTTTCTTTCGCATGCCGCCCAAGAAGGGCGGGAAGAAGCCATGGCGTAAGCTCACCGTGAGATACCGGGCAAAGCTCTGCGCTCGTCTCCAGAAAGCTGTCGGGCCACATTGTCACACTTGTGAGGACGTAGCGGCGCTGCTGTCTCAATTCATAAAGCGTTTGCACGCGAGCAACGAGGAGCTTTCCCCTGTGCTGCAGCTTGTAGAAGATAATGGTCGTCTCCGCGTCCTGTTGCGCGAGCTCGCCGAACTGTGCCAGAAGAAGTTCACCACGCCCCAAGCCGTGCGCAGTGCGAACATGTCCCTCCACGACCTCTCCAAGGTCGTCGTGCACGCCATCCCCAGCTTCCACGTGCTCCAAGACGCTGGCTTTCCCATTGGCCCGAGTATGTTCCATGCTCTACGATCAGAAGAGTCTGCCACAGCCAGCGCAGCCCCGGCCTGTGTCGGAGGTCGGCCGTCCAAACTGCGAGATGAGTCGCTGATTGCCAAGGTTGGGGAAGTTCTCGACGCGAACTGCAAAGAGTCGGAGCGCATAGTGGTCGTTGGCTCAGGGAGCAAAAGGCGCATGGTGGTTGCCAAGCACTTGGAGAAGACCAAGTACCGCCTCTGGTGCGAAGTTCCCACTTTGCACAAGAACATGGGATGGGGCACGTTTTGCACCATCATGCAGGTGCATTTCCCTCACGTTCGCAACCCCCGAAGAGACACGGATCTCTGCAAACATTGCTTGCACTTCGACAAGTACCTTTTGCCAGCTGCTAAGCGCTTGTCCGAGAAGATCCGTCACCACCTCGGCGACGCTTTGCCAACGTATTTTTCGACTTTCGACTCCAGCCCCGCCATTGTTGATCTGCGATCGCAGCAGCAAGATGTGCAAATCCTGTCGCGCATGCGCCGGTTCATCCTCAGCCGCAACGCAGCTGCAGAGAGGGACCCAGACAGGCAGCCGCTGAGTCGAGCCCAGCGTGTGACCTTACACGGCATTGAGGCCAAGGCAGCGCACAAACTGCAGACCCACATGGAGCTCCTGGAAGCGTACGAGTGGCATCGTCTATCTGCACGGCGGCAAAGCAACTACGTCAGCTCTCTCCGCTCCGAACTCCCTCCAGGTATTGCCCTGCTCCAGACGGATTTCAAAGAAAACGTCAAGTACCCCCTGAGCCCGCAAGAGACTGGCGAGGAGTGGCATGCTCAGAACAAGTTGTCGCTCACCGTGTTTGGGGCAAATGCCTTGGTGCCCAAACGACCAGGAGGGCACGCTGAGATCTTTGTACTGGTTGTGACAGACGTGTTGGATCACGACGCTCAGGCTGCCTGCATGATGACCAACACAGTCATTGCGCAGTTGAGGCAAGATCCCGAAGTGCATTGGGAAGCTGTAGAGCGTTTGATTGTTGTCGCTGACTGCGGCCCTCACTTTCGCAGCTACGAGAACGTAGCCCACTACTGCGTGACTTTACCAAAAGCCTTGCGCATTCCTGTTGAAGTTTGCTGGCTTGGGGAGCAGCACGGCAAATCCGGAGTTGATCGGTGCTTCGGCTGGTGCAATGACTGGATCACGAAGTACATCGTCACCAAACCGATCCATAGCCTGGACGACCTCATCGCCTGCTTCAAGGCGCGGTGGCTCCTTTTGCTTTCTTTGGAAGTGCTTGCTTTCCCGTTCTCATGTTCCTTGCTTTGCGTACGGGGCCCTGCCTAGGCGGGTGCCAGCAGCACCATGAAAGCTGACCGGCAATCAGCTCTGTTCCATGTGCTGAAATGGAACCCCGGCCAGCACCGACCATCTACACGCGTGTCGCTGGATGCTGACAACTTCAAGGTTTCCCGGACGTATTCTCTTGTGGGTTCTTTGTCTCGCCACGCTGCAGCCGGCACAAAGATCAAAAACCAAGTCTTCTCGGACCAAGGTGGTGGTGCGGATCTGTCCTTCCAAGTTCGACACACTACAGCAGAGGAACCTGTACCATGGCGGGTTGGCTATTACGACAAGCCACGCTCTTGGGAGGAAACTGGCCCCTTGCCAGGGCAGACCAACAGTTTGACGCACCGGTTTGCAGATCAAAAGCAGTTTGTCTCCGAGAAAATGCCAACCTCAAAGCCTTCCTTTCTGGAACGGTGCTCTGCTAAGGCGCTTTCTTTGCGCAAGGCGACTGCAAAAAAGAGACGGAAGCTAGCCCAGCTCCGCGGGGAAGATGCGGCCTCCAGCTCTTCTACATCTTCCTCTGATTCCGACTCCAGCGCAGACAGTTCATGAGTTTCACTCACAGCCATCGCATTGCCCCGCGCGTCAAAAGGAAGCTGCAGCTTCTGAGCTCATGTAGTATAAAGGGTGTGCTTCAAACAGTCCGCCGCGAAAGCGCCGCGAAAGCAATCCTAAAGAAAGCGACGCCCGCGAAAGCAAAACATGGGCTCGCGCAAGCATCGCGAAAGGGTCCGCGAAAGCAAGTCCATAGTACCGCTTTTTACACAAGAGTATTTGGCACGGCTCAGTTGATGGAACGCATGCCCGATATCAAGAAGATAGCCAGGGTCGTCCGGTTGCAGGAGATGGCCAACTCCTTGGGCGTGCCGCTGTCCATGGACCAGGTTGAGACTCAGATTTTGACGCAGCGAAAGGATGCGCGGGGGGATCGAAGCGCAAGAGGGGGCCTCGGCATCATGAAGGACATTGCCAAGAAAGCAGTTCTTCGCAACAAGGAGTACACCACGCTGTACGAGAGGCTGATCAATGACCCCTTTTACGCCTACACTGCCGCGCGGGGAGACCTGACGCCGTCCGCCCTCGAGTTTATCGAGAAAGTGGCACGATGCATCATTCCGAGTTTCGTGAGAACCAAGGAAATGATCCAAGGAAGCGTTGCTGTGCCGAAATATCACGCACGGCTAACGCTGGTGCCGCCTACGGAGGACGTGCAGGAGGTCGACCCGAAGGACGTCTATGTTGTGCATGGCGGCAGATTTCTGGAACCAGAACAATTTGCTGCACTTTACGGAAGCCTTGACAAGAGCAACCGCTACACCGTGATGGGCTGGACCCGGGATTTCTCGTCTGTGGGAGACCCCGAAATGGTATTGGTTGAGTTGCTCTGCTTCGTCGAAGAGGAGATCCCCAACATCGAGATCCCTGGACGAGCCACCCCGCTCCCTGCAGTTGTCGGTGTGACGCGCAAGCCCATTCCGCAGCTCCGGGAGACCGGTGGCCAATGGCAGGATCGTCAATGGAGCCAGTCGTACTGGGGAAGTTGGGGCCAATTCTGGGACTCGTGGTGGTCTGATGATCAGCGCCCATGGAAGAGCTCCCGCAATTGGGATTGGCGATGAATGAGCGATCTCTTCAACAATCTTTTCTATCTTCGGCTGACATCCATTTACATTTCAAATTCAATATTCATTATACTTCTCAATCATGTTGGCCGAGGATCAATGTACAGTGCATGAGCACGCCTCGCGAGAGCGACGGTCAGTGGAGGCGGAAGACCTTAACTGCCAATCGCTCGAATCCAAGTGCTTATGTGCTGCAAAAGGACTTCATGCCTATCGGGTTTCTTTGGTTGTTTCATCCCTTTCATTTGTCCTCCTGTTTCACATTCGGGCACGGGGGGTGTAGTTTGCAACGTGATGTATTTATCAACCATGTTAAACCCCAATGCATGAATGTCTCACTTGTGCAGTCTCATCATTACGACTGCATATGGCTCAAGGAAAAAGCGCGCTGAGTACAGGGTTCAATTGTGACCCTTCCCGGTTGTTTAACCTGTTCTATACCTCCTTTGCTTTTTTGGATCCACCAAAAGTGGCAGCTTCAATGGAAACCACCAATCAGATGCAGCTTTTGAAGATGACATCCAGGTGACCTCTGTCTTCTTGTTTCCTTTGGTTTTCCCCATGGGTTTTCCCCCATGCATGCTTTCCGTCGGCTTCCTTGGGCCGACTGTGCATAGGTGGGCTCCGTGACGAAGCAGCACGCGGGCAAGGTACCTGCGGGCACCGTGCTCAAGAGCAGCGACTTCCAGGCCGGTGACACGACCGACGAATCTGCGAGGTTTTGCGGGGAAAGCTCGTGTGACCCACTTGCGGCCTTCTGGTTTGTAGGCTGAAACGGGGGAAACCGCGAGGAAACTTGAATGTGGGGCTTGGTGAACGTTTAGGGAATCGTTGTCCGAGCAGGGTCCCATTGAATTCCGAGTGAAAGTCTCAGTCCAAAGCGAATCGATCATGTTCACCTTAACGTAACCAAGCTCAACCTCCCATGAATCGTGGATGGCTTCTTCAGCTACAGTTGCGCAAAGGGAATCCACCTGCCTTACCTGTTGATTTCAACCTGCTTGGTCCATTGTAGCCATGATCCCAGAAGGTTGACCGTTTCTTTTCAGGTCCTTTGCGCAAGTGAGGAGGCTGCCTGTGGCAGTGTTCATTTTTCATGTAGGTTTCCACAGGTGCCCGTGGACTGATTGTTTGATTCTGGGTGCTAGGTCGCCAAATTACGCTGTAAGCAATTTTCACGAGAAAAAGCAACTTAAAATGGGGCTGTCGTGACATGTGTGTGTTGCAGACCATTGCAGACCCCGTATTTGGCACCCATTCCGCTCATCAAGCCCGCACACTGCAAAAAAACGATTGGAATTCACGGGTGGCCGGCGCGACATAGATTCCTAACTGAAGCCCCTCCGTTTTGTAGTGACCACTTTGTAACATCCAAAAGAGGCCTGGAGAAGTCGGGGACCCATTTTGTAGATGTGTTTGGCCGCAACCATCATTTTTGCTGTAGACATGTTTCGCAAACTGCAGGTTTTATGCTATGGAATGGGTGTTCCAACGCCAGCCCATGCATTACGGACATACATGCATGCCAACGTGCGTGCGTGCATACATGCATGCATGCATGCATGCATACATGCATACATGCATACAGGCATAAAAGACACACAGACAGAGACAGACAGACAGACAGACAGACAGAGACAGACAGACGGACGGACAGACAGACAGACAGAGACAGACAGACAGACAGACAGACAGACAGACAGACAGACAGACAGACAGACAGAGACAGACAGACGGACGGACAGACAGACAGACAGAGACAGACAGACAGACAGACAGACAGACAGACAGACAGGCAGGCAGGCAGGCAGGCAGGCAGGCAGGCAGGCAGGCAGGCAGGCAGGCAGGCAGGCAGGCAGGCAGGCAGACAGACAGACAGACAAGACACACATCCAAGCATGCATGTACGCGTTCATACACACATAAAAACAGTTACACCTAGCAATTGTCAAAATACCCCAAGGACGAATGCGCAACAGCACCACCCCACCGAGTGCTTGAGGGCTTAGGTATAGCCCGAAAAACGCGCTCCAAGGGCGAGGGCGGTGTCTCCGGAGATCACTTGGTGGCCTTCACTGGGTCCAAGGACTCGGTCACGGGGTGGCCGGTGAGACCCGACAAAAAACCAGAAGGAAAGCCCCAAAGCCATTTTTAAAACCATTTTTTGGGGGACTCCGAAAGAAAAAAGGAAGGCAAACCTGAAGCCTAGTTTGGGGTGGGTCCGAGTCCTGCAAAAGACACGCTTTTAGGTGAGAACTGTTGTCCAAACACTGCAGTGCGGCTCCCCCATTGAAATTCGCAGCGGGGGATATCCCCTGGCTTTGTCCAAAGCGAATCGACTTCTGCACCTTTCTGAGGTACCTCCTTTAAGGTATCCAAGGCCAACATGCCATGAATTTTGAATTTGTTTGCTGTGGTGGATGGTTTTTTCAGTTGTCCAAAGCGAATCGACTGGATCTGACCTGTTTATTTCCACCAGCTTGGCCGATTGTGAGCCAAGGTTCCACACCCGTCATGTCCAGCTCCTTTGGGTAAGCGAGTCCAGCAGTTGTTCCTGACATATTTGGGAGCCAAGCCTGCTGGATTGGAGTTGTCTCCTCCAAGACGAAGCATTTTGTCCGTAGATCTATGCTGGATTTGGGGTTATGGCTGCTGAAGCGAACCTGGTCTCAGACCTCCAAATTTAGGAGGGGGTTGCGCCCTTTCTCCCTTTAGCTGACTCCCTGAGTTGCTGGACTTTAAAGTTTGCGAGAAGACCACGTGGTAAGCACTTGTTTTGGCCAATGAGTTATCCAATAGCCCAAGAATGTTTTGTGTGGGGCACTTTTCGGACGGCGCATCCCCTCCCAAAACTGCGCTAGCAGGAATGAAGTGCAATCAACACAGCGCAAGGGGTACAAATCAGTTACGCTGGCCAGCCAAACGCCTCGAGCGCCCTTTTGCTTTGCGGCTGGCAAAGTTGCCCGAAGCTCGTGGCGCTGCAAACATCATAGGACCCAACTCCCTGCAAGTGATCATTTTGCCACAATTGATGGTTTGGCTTTAGAGGTTGTGTGGTTAAGGGTAGCTTCCCATTTACCATCTACAAGAGCCAAGATTTCAGATCCCCAAACACCAACCTAAACCACCATTTGGTGCGAATCTGAAATGAGGCCTTGGTGTCTCCTTGAACGGTTTTGGACTCCTATGCAAGAGGGTTTTGCTACTGTATGTTGGGATTGTTTGTGTCTTGCCCCCAGCAGGCGCTTTTAGAAAAAGTGTAGACATGAAGGTGCGTTTCTCGAGGGTGTATTTCTCATATTTCTCATACTGCGTAGAAGCGTTGTGGCGTCGCCTGGTGCGCAGCACATCGGTGATGCGTCCGAAAATGGGGAGGGGACATAGCCCAAGTAGCCCCCGAACGTCGCCCAACCCACCTTCCTAGAAGGTCCAAAACTCTAATGGCAACACACCATTTGGCGCAATTGGTGTTTCTCCAAAATGGGGGTCCCCTAAAAAATGGGCGTATCTTTTTTTGCCCGTGAAATCTCAACCGAAAGAGGGTCAGAATCCATGATTAGAAGCTCCCCAATGCACCCACCTTGCCCTTGGATTCTTGCCTTTTGGGGCTCCAGGCACCTGTTTGGGCATGGCTCCAAATCAATGTTTCTCAAAATAGGCTGTGGGTTTTCCTTCCATCCAAAAAGGGGCCGAACACAAGCAGCTCAACAATGACCAATAGTTTACCCCAGGTCTCGTGACTAGGTGGTTGTTTCTCCCTGTATGGCCATTAATGTTAATAGGGAACCCCCTAAAAAGGTGGTTGGTGGACACAACACCCCACCTAAATGATGTCCACCAGAGGATCCCCAGCCAAGATTCATCCCCACGCATCGCTCGGAAACCCAGCTAGGAGTCCCCGACGTTGCTTTGCGCGGTGCACATGGAGGAGATGGCTGGCGGTGCCTCGGTTTTGCGCTTTGGCAAGTTCCCCAAATGAGTTTGTTTGGGGCAGTTAAGCTATCATGTCCAGCTGATTTTACTGGATCCGAATCCTGGTAAAGCAGGTGTCATTTGGGTGTATCCCTTGAGGAGCCCTTTTCTTTCAACCTTTGGGACACTTGTTTTTTTCTGTTTTTCCCAGTTTGCTGGTTATGTTTCAATAGTTCAACCTTCCTTGTGACATGTGTTCCTTTGTGTGTGTGTGTGTGTGTGTGTTTTTTTTTTTTTTTTTTTTTTTTTTTTTTTTTTCGGTTTTGCTGCGGCATGTCTTTTTTCTCTCCCCCCCCCCCCCGTTTTTGCCTTTTGTTTCTCGGGTTCTTTCCACCAAACCGCAAGAAGTCCCTCTAAAAAACGGTTTGGATGCTCTTTTTGTCGGTTTCACCAGTTCCCCCTGTTGTTGGTCCTTGTTTAGGAACCTTTTAGTATTCTACAGGGGTGGGTCCACAGATTCGGCGTCCGCATCCGGGTTCCACCGTGGCCGGCAGGTGTGGCCTCACGCATGCTGTCCACCCTCGAGGATGGCGTGTCCGCAGTGACGCTGCCGGAGGCGCGGGGCGTTCCCCTCGCCACTTCTTGGGGCCCGGGGCCCGAAACGTTCGGCGGGCTTTCGCGGGTTTTCGTGTTGGCCCCGGGTCCCTGAAGTCCCTGATCCACACGGGGGCCCTCGAAAATGGTTGATTGGGGGAGGGGGGATTTCGACCCTTGAAATCTCCATTGATGGTAACCCAGTTTCCCTTCACGAGGAATCACCCTTGTGGATGGGGGATGCTCCCTGAGTTCAGGACTTTTTAAGCTTTTGGTGAGCACAAGATGAATGGCAAACACAAGGTTTGGTTGCTCTGTGGCCACAGGAAGTGAGTCCTTTCTATCAGCGAATCCTGACTCTGCGTTTGTGGAGATTTCCCCTCACGGTTTTCGCTTGGGAGAAACCATCAAATTACGGTTTCAGGCCAGAGACTTCTCTTGGCTTTGGTTATCTCATTGATCGGAGATCTGCCGCTGGGGAATCAGCCATTTAAGTTGACATTGGCGTTTTCCAGGCGGTAGTCTAGGTCTTTCAGTCGTGCCCTTTTACCGATTCTTTTTTGGGGGAGGGTTCCCCTAAAGTAGATTACAGAAAAAAGGGGTATACCTTATTCTAACCTCTCTACTGGAGGACCTAGTTGGTGTTTTCTTTACCAGGCGTTAGTAATCTTAGGATGACCTGTGGCAGTACGACACGGCTTGGGTTGACTTACGGCGGGGCGGTGGCCTCATCCATTTGGCCTTGTGCTTTCAGCCTGGGCGATTCGGTCAGTCTTCGGCTTGCTGGACAAGGCCTAGACGAAACTTGTGAAATCATACGTCTGGCTCATAGCAGTTGAAGCCATTCGTGTTTTTGTTATTTCGCTAGAAAATGCATTGGTCTGGTTGAGTTTGTTGGTTGCATAACTCACTATGTAGGGGCATCTATTTTCCGAAAAGGACACCCATAGTTGAAGCGCCATGATGCCGTGCATTGACGCTTGAGATGCAATGAAGGGTCAGTGCAAAGTGTGCAACACACAGAGCGTCCTCGGAGGCAGACAACGCCTACTACACCGGGCCTGCCTTTGGCACAGTGGATGAGCCTTGGTGTGAGAACTGGTGTCCTCACGGGTTCAGTTGTAGTTTTTGACGTGTGACATTTGTGAGATCAGATCTTGGGCAATAGATGATTTCCAATGTGTAAAGCTGAGAGTTGAGCATCATGGGGGCTGGGGGGGAGGGAGGGGGGCACTGAAGGAGGGCACACGAAATAGATGGCCGCATTTTCCCACAGCCGCCCCAAGGGCAACCTCAAAACAGAAACAGCCCGGACGGTTTTAGCGCAGACTCGCGGGGCCTTTCTGGGCGTCACTTGTTTTGGACTGGACGTGGGTTGATGGCTTTCTCATGTGGCACAAAATCGGATCCACCCAAAAGCCCTGGCCACAGCGCAGCTGGAATCTGCTGTTCAAGCTGGGTTTCACTGTGGATGGTCGCGAAATCCATTTCGCAGCACCTACGAAATCCAATGGAATGATTCGATTCCCCTGCAAATGCCAAAAACAGTTGTCGTTTCAACCATGGTTTCATTTCGTGGTGCGGTCTCGGATTTCGCAACCATCCGCATGGGGGAAAGCGGCATGCCTGAAGGAGGTCCAGCATGACACCATTCAGCCGGCGAGGTCCATCATGTTTCACCCTGACAGCCTGGCCGGTGAACTTCACAAGGGGGATAAACAGCGGGTTACAACCTAGGTTGCCAAAAACCGTAGCCGAACACCCAATTCCCTTCAGAATCGCCACGCGAAATCCACCCAGAAAACCAATGTGTTGAAAACTGCGGGTACTCACTCCTATTTGGGCTGGGGTTGCAACTTGAAACCAAAGGGGAGATACTCATTTTGGGTCTAGACTAGGTCCCGCAGTAGTGCCCTCTTACCGTTTCTTTTTTGGGGGAGGGCTCCCCTACTAAAATAGACTACAGAAAAATCGGGTACCCTGATTCGAACCTCTCTACTGGAGGACCTAGTAGATCTCCTTTTTCACGAGCCATGCGTGGCTTCCCGTGTCCTTCGTTGGCGCTTCGCTGTGGCCCGAGGAGCTTCGCGCCGCCATCAACGACCGGAGCCTCTGGACTTCCGAGAACCTGCGCCCCGAGGAGCGCTGGGCGGCTCCCAGCGAATCGTCCGGTTCCTTTGCTTGTCTAGGTCCCCCAGTAGTGCCCTTTTTACCGTTTCATTTTTTGGGGGAGGGTTCCCCTAAAATAGATTACAGAAAAAAGTTGGCACCCTTATTCTAAGCTCTCTACTGGAGGACCTGGTTGTTTGAGGTGGTTTTGGCTGGTTTTAGTGTAATTAGCCTCCGTGTTTAGCCCAAAAGTTAGTCACTTTTGGCAGGGGAGAAGCCTGACATTTTATGATTCCTAGGGGTTGGTTCCCATTCTTTTCAAGGACCTGCGTTTCAAACCTGGGTGTCTAGAATCTAGAAAAGAAAACTCCATGGACATGATTCGTTGGCCTACGGCAACGGGATCATTGCCACGCAATTGCCAAGTTTGAACCTGGCGGGGCGAATGGAAACTGAGGATTCAGAGGTGGGCACATAGCTTTCAGGACCGCGTCAAACATGTCAGCTGTTGGAAGCACAACTTGGTCTAAGACACAAGATGGTATCCCGCACTTGACCCTTTCGACATGGCCCGACGTCAAGGCTCATTGGCTTCGCCGCAAGACCGGTCAGTGCTTTGACTGGTCCTCGGGCTTGTCAGAAAGTCTGAGCATGGGGTTGTTTAGCCTGCCACCTGAGGGGTGGCTTTGATCATGCTAAAACCAGAAGTGCTTGGCCAATTTGGTAAGCCAATTGCAATCAGATTCGTTTTGCCCACAAACACACACACACACACACACACTGTAGACTCAGAGGAGTGCTATATAAGTAAGCCGTTTGGAAGGGACAATGGGCACAAATCCCATACATTTCTTCGAGACTTGAGCTTTTAAGCAGTGGCCATTGGGTACGTTTGTTCGTCTGCTGACGCTGATCAGTCAAAAGTTGAAGAAGATCCAACATGGCCGCTGGACAACTTGCCAAGCCTGTACCGTCCCAAGTGGTCCTGTTTTGTTTGACAATACGTGGAATCCGAACTTCAGGAGAACACTCTTCAATCCTCCCTAAGGGGTGTGTGTCGGGCAGCAATACAGGAACCGGAGCCTCGCTGGCAACTCCTGGCCCGCGTCGGCCAAAGGTCTCCTGGATTTTTTGGTCGGGGGACCTTGTGAATATTTTTTGGGCAGCTTGCTCTGACTGCGTGAAGGGTTTTGCTGCCTAATAGGCTGCCTAATTTTCAAGATCTTCTGAGAAAGTCCTCACACCCTTTCTGAGGCCCCTTTCTGAGATGGTGCCCTCAGACTTTTGCTGACCAACTGCTTGCTTTTGGCTTCCGCCAGTTTTTGTTCTACACGTGCGGGGCCACTCTCCGAAATGTTTAGCGGACACACCTCAAACCCGCAACGCTGACTGTCCACCAAAGAGGGCAGGTTCCAGGGATAGCGCCCTTAAAGCCGCATAGTAAAACCTCCGAGCCGCTTGCGCCTTAGCTTTGGGGAGCTGCCCCGTTTCGCTTCGGAGATCCAAAGGTGCGCGGGGCTCTAGCGGACAACAAACTTGACTCGGGCTGAGGGGCACTACTGTGGCTGAAAAGTTCACGTGGTACCAGCTAGCATAAAAACCGATTTCAGTCCTGACCATAAGGGAAACATGCTGTAACTAGTTCTCACCCCCTCAGCTCATGGACTTTAAACTTTGGGGGATTTTTTTGGGCCACCCCCCTCAGAACGCAAGATTTGGATTACCATGATCACCGCAGGACGGACGCATCTTGAGCAGCTTCGTGATCCAGAGTGGCGCCAACACCACCACGGCGGTTACTCAGACCACGCGAGGGCCTCGGTTGGAGCGCTGAAAGCCGGTCCCGGTATGTGTGTGTGTGTGTGTGTCTGTGTGTCTGTGTGTCTGTGTGTCTGTGTGTCTGTGTGTCTGTGTGTCTGTGTGTCTGTGTGTCTGTGTGTCTGTGTGTCTGTGTGTCTGTGTGTCTGTGTGTCTGTGTGTCTGTGTGTCTGTGTCTCTGTGTCTCTGTGTCTCTGTGTCTCTGTGTCTCTGTGTCTCTGTGTCTCTGTGTCTCTGTGTCTCTGTGTCTCTGTGTCTCTGTGTCTCTGTGTCTCTGTGTCTCTGTGTCTCTGTGTCTCTGTCTCTGTCTCTGTCTCTGTCTCTGTCTCTGGGTCTCTGTCTCTGTGTCTCTGTCTCTGTCTCTGTCTCTGTCTCTGCTCTGTCTCTGTCTCTGTCTCTGCTCTGTCTCTGCTCTGCGTCTCTGCGTCTCTGCGTCTCTGCGTCTCTGCGTCTCTGCGTCTCTGCGTCTCTGCGTCTCTGCGTCTCTGCGTCTCTGCGTCTCTGCGTCTCTGCGTCTCTGCGTCTCTGCGTCTCTGCGTCTCTGCGTCTCTGCGTCTCTGCGTCTCTGCGTCTCTGCGTCTCTGCGTCTCTGCGTCTCTGCGTCTCTGCGTCTCTGCGTCTCTGCGTCTCTGCGTCTCTGCGTCTCTGCGTCTCTGCGTCTCTGCGTCTCTGCGTCTCTGCGTCTCTGCGTCTCTGTCTGCGTCTCTGCGTCTCTGCGTCTCTGCGTCTCTGCGTCTCTGCGTCTCTGCGTCTCTGTGTCTCTGTGTCTCTGTGTCTCTGTGTCTCTGTGTCTCTGTGTCTCTGTGTCTCTGTGTCTCTGTGTCTCTGTGTCTCTGTGTCTCTGTGTCTCTGTGTCTCTGTGTCTCTGTGTCTCTGTGTCTCTGTGTCTCTGTGTCTCTGTGTCTCTGTGTCTCTGTGTCTCTGTGTCTCTGTGTCTCTGTGTCTCTGTGTCTCTGTGTCTCTGTGTCTCTGTGTCTCTCTGTGTCTCTGTGTCTCTGTGTCTCTGTGTCTCTGTGTCTCTGTGTCTCTGTGTCTGTGGCTCTGTGTCTCTGTGTCTCTGTGTCTGTGTGTCTGTGTCTGTGTGTCTGTGTGTCTGTGTGTCTGTGTCTCTGTGTCTCTGTGTCTCTGTGTCTCTGTGTCTCTGTGTCTCTGTGTCTCTGTGTCTCTGTGTGTCTGTGTGTCTGTGTGTTTGTGTGTGTGTGTGTGTTTGTGTGGTTGTGCGGTTGTGTGCTTGTGTGTCTGTGTGTCTGTGTGTTTGTGTGTTTGTGCGTTTGTGTGTTTGTGTGTTTGTGTGTTTGTGTGTTTGTGTGTGTGTGTTTCTTTGGGTGTTTGTTTGTGTGTTTGTGTGTGTGTGTGTATGTGTGTGTGTGTGTGTGTGTGTCTGTGTGCCTGTGTGTCTGTGTGTTTGCGTGTTTGTGTTTGTGTGTTTGTGTGTTTTTGTGTTTGTGTGTTTGTGTGTGTTTGTTTTTTTTTGTGTGTTTGCGTGTTTGTGTGTTTGTGTGTTTGTGTGTTTTTCTTTGTGTGTTTCTTTGTGTGTTTCTTTGTGTGCTTCTTTGTGTGCTTCTTTGTGTTGTTCTTTGTGTGTATGTGTGTGTGTGTGTCTGTGTGTTTGTGTGTTCGTGTGTGTGTGTGTAAACATCCCAGAGTGGCACATTCCTTGTTCGCCCAGTTCAGTGACACCAACTCAGAGTTGAATTGCGAAGAGCTTTGTGCGGAGGGTTTTTGTTTTTTCCTTCGCCTATTTAACATGGGCTTCACCCTAGAACGAGGAGTCCAGGTGCCCACCATCCGGGTCGCTGGGAAACTGGGTAATTATGCTCCCCTTTTAGCCAGTGAATCAAAGGTCCTTACCAATTCGCTTGCTTCAAGCACATCAAAGAAGTGGGCAGCGTCGCATTGGCCAGGTGCCTGAACTGTTGCTCGCTCCCAGCATTTCAGCAAACTCCATACGCTGTGCCAACTGTATTGCCGATTGCCTTTGGTCCGATTCACGAGCTGAACCATATCTGCTCCAGTTGGCATAGAGGCAAGCCTATGAGCAGCAGGGGAAACCAACCGCAGGATTTTGTGCATCAGGTGGAATGGGGCCAGGCCTGGTCAGGCAGGCCCTCTCAGCCCGAAAAAGGGTTGAGTTGAAAGGAAGCCTCCAACCAGGATCGTAAGCAAGCCGGCCTTCCAGTTGTTGGTATGTTCTTGGTATGTTCTTGGTATGTTCTTGGTATGTTCTTGGTATGTTCTTGATATGTTCTTGGTATGTTCTTAAATCTTGCTGTCTTGATCCTGTTGATGAAATTTGGACTTCCAATAAATGCAATGGTTTGCTGGAAACGGTGACACGGCGCTCAACAAGCCCCCTCCTGCCGCTGCTAAGCCGACTCAGCCAAGGACCTTCATGGCGAATTCCACCAGCATCTTAGCGTGACGTACAGGTTTGCTCATGACCCCTATGTACGTGGTTGGGCGTGTCTGAAAATAGGGGACCGCAACATGGTAGGTCTTTGCTTCATTGCCCCCTGCAATCCCATCCTCAAAAGCGTACGCCAAAAAAGATACCCAGCAGATTTGCGCGTGATCCGCATGTGGTTGGTCTACTTCTGACTTTGGTGGCAATGTCAAGGGCTGGTGAAACGAACTTGCACAGCTTCCCAAGCGCTGCTCAACGTCAGCCATTGGGGCGTTCCCAGAGCTGTAGCGAATGAGTCTGAGTAGCAATGGTCCATCAACAGACTGAACATTTTTTTGTGGGAAGTCTTTGTCTCAAAGGAACCAGCGGCCCCTCAAGATCCAAAAGTGTCAGTTCCATCGAAAACCACTAGGCAATTGCAACTTTGGGTTTAGGGAGATCCGGCGACCCCTGTGGATAGTGCCCTGCGGTTGGGGACAAATCCCTAGTTGATTCGGTCCGGATTCCACATTCTTAAGTCCAAGGCACTGTTGGCGACCCAGCTGTGTTCATCACAGGTCGATTTTACTTCAAAAGGGGGTCCTCCAATCAGAGCTAGTTGGACATTGCAATCTAAAGCAAGGCACCCCGATACTCTGCTGCCAACATCGGGGCGCAGTGGTCGTTCGTGACAAACATGACCCACAAATAAAAGATATGAAGCTCCGAGTGATTGGCCAATTGCTATGCGGAGCCTTGGGGCAACTGTCGTGTCTCCTTTTTTAAGAGCAGGTTTCCAAGAATAGATGGGTGTGTTTTAAAGTAGAGGACCACAAAAATGGTTGGTTTCCCTTTGGTTTCCCTTTACATGAGCCCACCCCACAAACCCAGAAAAGGGTACCATCAACAAAAGGCACGCCCTTAGCCTTATCCGACACTCCGAAGGAGGTTGGTGTAAACAAAATATAGGGGTTTATCGCCAACAAAAGGTTATTAAACCATGTTTAAGCCAGGGGTCGAGTCGCCAACATGAAGCGAGGCATGACCACCACTGCCACCACGATGTTCGAGACCACCGTGGCATCGACCACCATGGCACCCACGACCACCATGGCACCCACGACCACCATGGCGACCACTGCAGGCCTTGCCCCTTTTGCGACGGAAGCGGGAAGGTTCGCCGAAAATGACGGTCAAATGCTTGGAGCTGGATATGTGTGAACAATAGGGATTTGGCCACAAAGTTGCGGTGGTTTGTCGGGTTTCGGAGTAACACCACGGACCTTCTGAAGGGATAATTGCCCACGCTCCCTGGTACAGCTGTCCATTTAGAGCAGGAGCTTCGGGCCGTTTTGAGCTATTCAGTGGGGTTCCCCGCTTCGGGGAGCCCGGAAAAACAACTGACAGGGACATCCAGCGACTGTTTTGACCCAGCCCCAAATTCATTCATTCACAGAGCACGAGCGAGAGAGAGAGAGATCTCGAGGTAAAGACGCACACGCAAACAAAACACAATGTCTTGAATCTGCATGAAACCATGAATGATTCCTCAAAAAGGAACAGGCTCAATACCCTCTGACACTGGCAAAAAGTGCATTTGGACATCTAGAAGGATGTCCGGAAGATCGGCACTTTAGGGGTCTAAATTGATTAGAATGGCGTTGTGGGGTACTTTGAAACCAAATTCAGCCATGACCATGTGGGAGGAATCTTGATAAGGTTCAAGTGTGCTGTATTTTACCAACCTGTGTGCCGAGAGCGGGCGAAGAGGAGACGCTGATTTGGTAGCCTCAAGGCCGAATCTTCTCAAAGGCTATGTGCAGGGGTGGAGTGTAGGTATTGATGTTCAGGGGCACTATTTGGTGCTTTTGAAGTTCAAGGGCAGAATATGTTTCACGGTCAAGGGCATGTTTTTCTCGAACATTCAGGAGCATATGCGTTGGAAGTTGGGTTTAATGTTCAAGGCGTACCATCCTCGGGAAGTTTTCTCCGTCAAAGGCATATTTACGCTTTGCCGGCCATTGTGTAGTTTGATTTGGTCTCCCGCTGCAGCTTGATCATGGATGATCAGAGGCTGATTGCATTCCAGATCATATCCTTTGTTGTCGAGTCAAGACCTTCGGTTGACCCGATGGCAGAGAGAGAGAGAGAATCATGCCGCTCGAGCCTGGCAGTTTCAATCTTGCATTGCCCCTACCGACCATTGGGTCGGTTTCTCCAGTGCCTTTGCCTGTTGTCTATGTTAAGTGCCCGACATTCCTGGACTTTGTCCTTTTTTGGGAAGGCCATTTTAATGACATACAAATAGTTCGGTATGTTTTTGGCCATCCACTCAGGAAGTGAGTCAGACCTCGGCAGGTGCCACCACCTCCGTAGGCGCCACCGAGCCCACATCCAGTGCAGTGAACATGCTGGCCGGTTTTCCCCTGCTGGCAGTGCTGAGCATTGCCTGAGGCTCCAAAAGAATACGACTTCGGTGGCAATTTTGGCCCACGGGTTTCCCAACATGCAAATGGAGGGTGCGTATGGGTGTGCCTTTTTTGTGGAAACCCCTTTTTGTAGGATTTTGTAGGTTTTAAGGGGGCACAAAAAGGAAAACCACCATGTTGGGGGGAACCCCAAAAGCACACCCATATAGTTGTTTCAGCTTGGGTAATTTCTTCGTTTAGGATGCGCAGGGGCCAGCCGGAGGTGAACACTTGTTGGACAATTCCACCGCTGAAGCCGTCAATGAGAACCATAAATTTGCACTCCTCGTTCATAGGTAGGGGGTTTCCATGAATCTTTTTCAGAGGATCGTGCGCAGAGAATGCATAGAGCAACTTGCGCACTTGGACACATAGCGTTGCACAAAACCCCAAAGAAGCTGGCACGAAACAAGCCTCACCACGATACTGCCGCGTCATGTCTTCGCGTCGCCCGCTTCTTGTCTTAAACTTGGCGGGGTGTACTTCGGATAAAAGCTGCGGCGCGTGCCTAAATGCTTGCGGGCCACCCGTTGTCCAATTTGTTTGTCTTCCCCGCTGAAAATGGTCATCCCTCAAGTACTGTACAACATTTCCACCAGAGTCACCGAACAGCTGGATCACTCCCAGACTGTGTCATTCCAGGGTGACTTGCCCAAGGCGAGCCGACATGATGCCGTTCTGCTTGTACCGTGTCAGCATTTGTTTACAGGTCGGGTTGCAATCAACGCTTCTCAAAGGAAGTGTCTTCTTCTTGCGCTGTGAATGGGCGGCACTCCCGGGTCTTGTAGCGATTTACCCCCAGTTGGGACCTATTGCCAGGATGAACCCATACAGCCCATGGCCTACCCTCGCCAGGCTGTATCCAACCGCAGGGTGCGCGGAACAGGGAAACTCGAAAAGGGCGCCATACTTTTCCACCGCCACCGCGCAAAGAACAGAAAGGCCAGGATGATGTTCCTGACCGCGTGGCTGGTCATGGGAGATAAGATCCTTCGAATTGCAAGTGACCCAATTACTGTTGACTACGGATTAACCCGAAGAACCATCCGAAAAGCCATGCTAATCCGCTTGACGTGCGCCCATTCCACACAAAACGGGGACCCCCCTGACTAGTTTCTCTTTGCCGCCAGGGTATGCATTTTTGTGACCCCTGTTTTGTCGCAGAGCTTTGCAAGGAAACCAATGGAGAGCTACAATTTTGCAAGCCTTCCAAACTTTGAGACAAGCCCAATTTACCATGTCAGCGACATTTGATTCCCAAAAGCAAACCTCAAGTGGACTCTTTTTTTTAAATTCAATCTCCAGATCCTTGTTCTGCACCCAATAGGTGTTCATTTATTTCTGGCTCCTTTGGGCAAGTGAGTCTTTTCAACAATGTTCTTTGGTTGCAAGTTTGGCGTGAAAATCAAAGCTTGAAATGATGAACTCCTTTGACCAGCCACGCTTTTCCCATCATTTCCTGAAGCCCTGGAGGGGCCCTGGGGATGCAAAAAGGGAGGGGCACTTCCTGCAACGATTGCCGTTTTGCGTCGACACCAGGTTGTTTTTCTGCGCCCGCCTTGACACATGCAAAGGAGGTGGTGCACGGCTCGGGCAAGTCTTGCCCTTTGGGTCGGGGAAGGGCTGGGGAGTGTCCTCTTGAGTTCCGCCACCACCACACTGGGATCCGGACCTCTCACAAAACATGTTGATTAAGTTTTAAGCTTGCCTGGACATAGACCAGAATCTGCATATGACATTTTTGCCATGGCCGACCAGCAAAGGTAGAGGGATCCTAACAACAAGAGAGGCCCATGTGGCAGGGCCATCTCCTGCACGATTGTCTGGCACGGCGTTTTTTGCGTGATGAACATTGTGATGAAAAGGGCCTCTCGAGGCGTCGCGCGTTCGCGCGTGGGCCGGATACCTTTTTTCGCAAGTGAGCTTAACAATCCTAGTTGTTTAACGATTCGGTTCCTGTCAATACTGCTGATTTACAAGTTTGGCCAGAATTGGCTGCAATTTGATCTAAACCTTTGCCGTCAAAACGTTGCTTGAGGTCGCTTGTGTTCATAGGGGGTTGACAAAATATCGACATAATATCGTATTGACACTTGTCTTGTTGGGGTCGAGTCACTTTCTTGGGGAGCACGTCTTGACGTCTCAATGGTTTGTGACCGGGCGACATTTGTAACAATACCGGAAACCAAAGGGAAACCAACCATTTTTGTGGTCCTCTACTTTAAAACGCACCCATCTATTCTTGGAAACCTGCTCTTAAAAAAGGAGACACGACAGTTGCCCCAAGGCTCCGCATAGCAATTGGCGGTTCCCAGCAGATTTCTAGTCCTCGAGGGTTCGGAGATATTTGTGACGCATCCCACTTTAGATTTTTGCAGGTGCTCAGCAGGGAATGAGTTGGACTGCCCCCTGGAAACCATCCCCTCTGGCTTCCTTTTTCGGAATCCCTTCCCAACAGACCGGGCTATGCCCGCAAGCAAAAGTGTTAAGGGACCTGGGTTTGAACATCATTTGTCAGACCCAGTTTGACTGGGTTTCCTTGTTTTTAAAGTGGATGGACACATACGGTCTTCCAAGTTCTTGATTTCCCTATTCTTCCCCGACGTGTTCCCTGTTTTTCCCAGTACATCCCTACTGGGTTTGTTTCTCAGTATCTGTCTTCACCCCTGGAAATTCGTGGTGGACACCCAAAAGTGATCCCGGATCCCCCCGGAAGTAGTTTCCTCCATGACCTGCTCACTCAGTTTCCTCCACCAGCTGCTCACTCCTAGGTTTTGCAGTAGTGCCCTTTTCCTTTTTTTTGGTTGGGTTCCCCTAGTAAAATAGACTGCAGAAAGAAAAGGTACCCTCATTCTAACCTCTCTGCAAGAGGGCAAAGGCTGGCTTTTCCAGTGCTGCCAGTTTCCACGCCTAGGTAACCAGGTATGTCTACCTCTGACATGGACACCCAGAGTGGCAACTGGAAGCACTGGCTTAGACTTGTTGTGTGTTCCTGTTTGCTCCTGCGGAGGCGCCCGGAGTGGGCGACGCTTCGCGGGAAGCTCGGGCTCGCCGTCTCGCTATGCTGACGGGCCAAAAGGATCCATTCTTACCGGTCCCCTCCCATGTATGCGAGCAGTTTTTCCTCAAATTTTGTGGATGGACAACATGCTGCACCGCTTGGTTGGTTTATCCCACTGTGAGTTGGGCTTTATCCATTCATTCCATTTGGTGCAGGATCTTGTCCATGCACAGTACGGGTCCCTTACAGATGGCCAGTTGTGCTTTGGTTTCCAACAGGGAGGGGGTCTGCCTTTATTTCTGGGTCCTTTGGGCAAGTGAGCAAGTATGACACAGAATCTGGGCATGTTTTGCTGCTCGGAGCTTCGAATGTGGGCCAAGCGTCCGTCTTTTTGTATTCTGGAAAGTCGAGCTGACTGATTTGCGAACCATTGTTGAATTTGCAAGGTATCTGGTTGGGTTCTGTTTGTCCAGCTTTTGCTAGCAATGCTTCCGGAAAAAAAAAAGCAGGCCATACAAAGATCGGTTTCGTTGTTTCTCCCCGCCAGTTCTCGGGTTGCTCTTCCCCGAGGCAAAAGAACCATGTGATTCTGCAGTGGATTTTGTTAGTCTGAAAGTCCTCAAGTGAATAAGCATTGCCCCAAGGCGAATAGGCCTTTTGTCCTTTCGGTTTTCCCTTGTTCTAGGTTCAGTCAAGGTCCCAAACCATGGTTGTTGTTGGGAACCATGTTACATTTTTGCTTATTGTGGTTTAGTGGGAAATCCCCACTTAACTGCTGAAATTTAATTTGTTGCTCCCCTTTCAACGTCAACCAAGAAAAGGTTACCCTGTGATTTCCATGTTTACTGGGCAAGTGAGAAGCTGATATGCAATTCAACGATGGGAGCGTGACTCGGGTGTGAGATTCCAACTTTCTTTCAGGCCAAAGCAGCAAGGAGATCTGGGTGCGATCGGGCGGAGAAGCGCTTTTGGGCTGCGGGATGAAGAGATCAGAGGATATATGGCCGTGGGTCAACACCAATGGTACAATTTTGGGGTAGGTGCACCATTTTAGTCTATTTTAGTGGGGATTGGGATGTTCAGTGGGGGTATGGGGGTTTTGACCCATGGCCATATTATGTTTGGTTGTAAGTTGTAACCCTGCCTTTTTCATAAGACATAGCAGGATACCTTAAAGGATACCCCACTCCATCTCGAAGATTAATCAATGCCGATTTCAAAGGACTCCTCAATAGAATTCTGAAGGCGTTTGCAGGCAGAACCCCCCTGGGCTTGCTCAAGGAATCCATTTGGACACATAGCAGTTACGATGGGGATGGGAACCTCATTTGGTATCAGATCACAAGTTGTTTTTCCCAACTGTGGGAGGCTGCAACGCGACCCCCTACCCTCATATCAGTTTTGGGGTATGCCTCGGAAGGTGAGGTTCAACATAACATGGTCCCATTGCGTTTCACGGGAGGGGAGGATGAATATGATGTCAGAAGGTTTCCTGTACGCATTCCATGATTGTTGACATAGGGTGTAAGGGATAATTTAGTTTTGGGCACATTGCTCATCCATTCTGAGGTTCCCAACGAAGTAGGCGTACAGCGGGCAAGGCCCCACACGTATTTTCACGGTGGACTTGGATGAGCCTAAGTGCCTAGGCATGAAACTCGTTTACGGCTGCAGGGATCCATTGCAACTCTCGCCTAGAGTAAAGTCCGAAGTTGCTATGCCAGGTTAGCACCTGCAGGCCGTACGCTTCATGTTCTTATTGATTATCAGGAGCAATGGAAACCGGTTCTGTAATTTGCTATGGCTAGCAACGTGTCACTCGCAAATTCCAGGAAGCGGAGAACTACGAATTCCTAGAAATTGAATTTCCCCCCCCCCGATCCCACAAGAAACGCTGTTAAATCCTTTTGACAGGGTTCTGATTCGAGGGGGCCAGGTCTCACCCCCTACCATGGCCATGGTCGAAACCAGGGTTTAGAGATGCTTTTCTTGTTAAATCTAAACCCCTTTACACACCACGGTGTTTTTTCCCAATATTGGTGCAACAACTAGGTCCCCCAGTAGTGCCCTTTTACCGTTTCTTTTTTGGGGAGGGTTCCCAAACTAAAATAGACAAAACCGAGAAAAGTTGGTACCCTTATTCGAGCACCTCTCGAATCTGGAGGACCTAGACAAGCTTGCGTGCGCGAAAAGCGTCGGAGTTTTCCAGGACCGAAGCCTGGCAGCGGCGGGGCTTGGCCCTTTCTGGAGGACTCGATTTCAAGCGCGCGTGGAGCACCCATGAATGGGGAAGCCTTGAAGACAGCGCCCCGTTTTTTTGTGGTTTTCCCGCCTGGAATTTTGCTTCGCGCTTCTTGTTTTTTTCACGATTTGGTGCCCTCGGATATGGGGGTGTCGTTTGAGGGTACCCGTAGGGTTGGGTGAAAGGGAAGCCGAAAAAGGCCAGGCATTTGGCGAGTTCCAGTTGAAGACAAGCCCCGATTTCCCGAGCGGGCGGCGAGTTGGGATACTTGAGGCGGAGGTCCAGCGATTGGGCCGATCTTTTTTTGGTTGCGATGGAGTGAAGCCAAGAGGAGGTCCCCCAGTGCCGTACAGAAAAAGGGTACCCTCATTCTAACCTCTCCACTGGAGGAGCTAGAGAAGGAGGTTGCTTCAACGCGTGGGGATCCCTAAAGCAGGGGGCGGGTTCTGTAAGTCTCCCTAAAGGACCCTCAGGAACCCTAACGACCCACCCCTCTTGTACCTGACCATGTGAGGGATTCCACAAAACACGGGGCGCAGACATGTTTATAGGGTTGGAAGTTCCCAAGCCTGTCAGGACTATGAGGGCAATTCCAGCGGCTCGGACGAGCAGTCTGCCAGGCGCAAACTGCCCCGAACTGCCCATTTGGATCTGTTTGAATCTGTTTGGCGTCATCTTGACGTGTTTGTTTTTGAGTTGGTGGCCCTTTGTTCGGGCGGTGTTGAAGTGTGAGTGTGCCTTTCTGCAATTTGGCCCCTTTTCGGCCTCATAGGCAGATTATGTCTGACCTGTGTGTCTGTGTGTCTATGTCTGTCTCTGTTTGTATCTGTCTGTCTCTGTCTGTCTCTGTCTGTCTCTGTCTGTCTCTGTCTGTTTCTTCTGTCTCTGTCTGTCTCTGTCTGTCTCTGTCTGTTTGTCTGTCTGTGTGTCTGTGTGTCTGTGCGTCTGTGCGTCTGTGCGTCTGTGTGTCTGTGTGTCTGTGTGTCTGTGTGTGTGTTCGTGTGTCCGTGTGTCTGCGTGCCTGTGTGTGTGTGTGTGTCTGAGTCTGTGTGTCTGTGTGTCTGTGTGTCTGTGTGTCTGTGTGTCTGTGAGTCTGTGAGTCTGTGTGTCTGTGCGTCTGTGCGTCTGTGCGTCTGTGCGTCTGTGCGTCTGTGCGTCTGTGCGTCTGTGCGTCTGTGCGTCTGTGCGTCTGTGTGTCTGTGTGTGTGTGTGTGTGTTCGTGTGTCCGTGTGTCTGCGTGCCTGTGTGTCTGTGTGTGTCTGAGTCTGTGTGTCTGTGTGTCTGTGTGTCTGTGTGTCTGTGTGCCTGTGTGTCTGTGAGTCTGTGTGTCCGTGTGTCTGTGTGTTTGTGTGTCTGTGTGTTTGTGTGTCTGTGTGTCTGTGTGTTTGTGTGTCTGTGTGTCTGTGTGTCTGTGTGTCTGTGTGTCTGTGTGTTTGTGTGTTAGTGTGTTAGTGTTTGTCTTATATGTTTTTGTGTCGTTGTGCTTTGCGTGTTTGTGCGTTTGTGTGCTTGAGTGTTTGCGTGCTTGCGTGTTTGTGTGCTTGTGTGTTTGTATCTTTTGTGTTTGTGTGCTTGTGTTTGTGTGTGGGTTGACGTGTGGGTGAATGTGTGTGTGTGTGTGCGCGTGTGTTTGTGGGTACGCATCGCTATGTTTTTTGTGAATTGTGTTTGTGTGTGTGTGTTGGTGTGTGGGTGTGCGGGGTTGTAGGGGGGGGGGGGGGCGTGGGTGCGAAGATGAGTGGGTGCGTTACCTGCCCCCTGTCTGCCTGCCTGCGTTTGTGCGTGCGCCTGTGCGTGTCGGTGTGGGGGTGTGTTTGGTTGTTTGTTTGTTTGTTTGTTTGTTTGTGTGGGTGGGTGGGGTGGTGCGTGCCTTCGTGCATGTCTGCCTGCCCGCCTGCGTGCTGTGCGCGCGTGTGCGTCTGTGTTTTGTGCCGGCCTTGCGCGGGAAGTTTTGAGTCTTTGCTTTTAGCAAGGGTGAACTTTCAGCATGTGTTGGCAGAATTCCCGAAACCTTGCCTGCATGGCTCAAAATTAGTATACCACATGCTTCTGCATAGAATACCACTTCCAATGCTGAGACTTTGGGTGGGTTCCTTGATCTCAGTTGCCCAAAGCCGACCTTTTCACCTTTATTTTTATGTTTTGGCCCATTTTTTGTGGAGGTGCCAAAAGGTGAACCTTTTATTCCTGGGTCCTCTGGGCAAGTGAGCGATTTTTTGAGACCACCGGGACCGGGACTTGGTCAGCGCCGCGCCGCAGGCCCCCAGGCTTCTGGGCATCTGCCCCTGGCCCGGCACCGCTGCCCTGGGCCTGGCCGGTCGCTCGGGCCTGGCTCTCGGCTTTTTGGGTGCTCAAGCCACGCCTGGCGTGCGACCCCGCGGTGAGAACTTCTCAGTTGTCCAAAGCCGACCTTTTGACCTTTTGGTTTTCCTTTTTAGCCATGACCCCAAAAGGTTAACCTTTTAGTTCCAGGTCCTTTGGGCAACTGAGACTTGCAGGTGCTCAGCAGGGAATGGGGGAATGACCCCAAGAAACCATCCCATGGCTTGAATTTTCAGGGAGCCCTGAGTTCATTCCTTCATTCCCGGCTGGGCACCAG